GGCATGTGCCATCACTGCCCAGCTAAGTTTCAGTTCTTGCTTCTGTGCTGAGATCATGGATGCCAGGTTGTGCTGCCAGGTTGTGTATTAACATGTCTGCATTCTAAGTGGCTCCTGGTCTGAGTTTCATTTTCTTCCTTGTGTGAGTGTATCAATACTTGCCCTATGTGTTCCAAGCAGCCAAGCAGTTCACTACCTTTTCAATGTGGCTGCTTTTATCTGCCATTGACAAGAAATCCACAGAAGCCCAGGGCACATAATTTCACTTGAAAAGTATCTAGACCTTGAGTAAAAACCTGTCGGTAGGGGCTGGAAAGATGGCTCAGAAGTTAAGAGCAGTGGTCTAATCAATTCCCAGCAACCACATGGTGCCTCACAACCATCTATGATGAGATCTGGTGCCCTCTTATGGTGTGCAGGCATACATGCAGGTTGAACACTATATACATAATAAATAAATTAAAAAAGAAAGAAAACCTGTCTGTAAATAAAGATGGCATACTTTGTACATGGAGTATTTTGCTGTCATGGGTCCTTCTGAGAGCTTTCTATAATCAGTGTGGTGACCCCAAACACTAGCTTTCCACTATGAATGTTTTCCTGAGAAGGGAAGCTTGGTTGCAGGGTGTTTCTGCTGGGGGTCGTCTGTGGTACACTAGAGGAACAGGTCACAATTTAATGGACACACTTGGTTAAATGTGTACCTTCCTCCCTGAAACTCCCTACAAGATTTTCACCTGCCTCCAGAGCTTGCCTTCTTTCCCCAGAAATCTGGGCGTGTTCCTCCACCTGTTGCGCACCTCCCAAGTATCACTCGGTCCACCTTCGACCGGGGCTCCCTTGGTGTGCATCTGCCACTGGTCCCAAACTGTTCTCCACATTAGACAATGTTTACGTTGGCTAAATATTAGCACAAGCAAGTCATTCCCTTGGCATGTTCATGGGCAACACGGCAGGCCGCTGGACAGATGTGACATTTGCAAGCTGGTCTTCTTTCGTAGACACTCCCAGCGACTCTGCTTTCATCAGCAGTGTGCCGAGCTCTCCTCATGGTTAGGTGTATGCATGGGACCTAAGAGTCACTTGAGGGAACACTTAAAAGTCCTGATGTCTAAGACAACAGCCACAGCAATTCATTTCAAACCTCTAGGGTGGGGCCTGGACACCAGTGGATTTTAGAAATCTTCCATGTCCATCCAATGTTGGAAACTTGCACCCAAGACTGTAAGACTTTCATATGTATGAGACTCACTGATACAGATTGAAGTTCAGTAGCTTTGGGTGGCACTGAGATTCTGTGTGTGTGTGTGTGTGTGTGTGTGTGTGTGTGTGTGTGTGTGTGTGTGTGCCTGTGGAGGTCAGAGGTTGATAGTGTTTTCCTTAATCATTTCCCTATTTTTCTTTTATTAAGACAGGGTCTTACTATACTTGACTGGCCTGGAATTCACTGCGTACACTAGGTTGGCCTTGAACTCACAGAGGCCCACCTGGGATTATAGGGGTGTGCTACCATGCCTAGCCTGGCACCTTATTTTTGAGGCAGGGTCTCTCAGTGAACCTGGAACTCCCCGATTCATCTAAACTAACTGGCCAGAAATCTCTAGGGATCCCCCAGTCTCTGCCTGTGCAGCTCTGGGATTACAGACGTGTGCTGCCATGCCATGCCTAGCTTTTTATCTGGGTGCTGGGACTTTGAACTCAGGCACTCATGCCTGTGAAGCAAGTAGTTTACCAACTGAGCCTTCTCTATAGTCCCAGTTTCGCATTTATGATAAGTGTCCTGGTAATGCTGATTGATATATTTCTTCTAGGTCAAGGGCCCAGTGTTGAATAGCAAAGCTGTGGGTCTCTCTAGACTCTTCATCAGTGTTGCAAATAATTTCCCAGAAACCACTCATCCGTTTGGCTTCGTGAGCATTTCCACATTTTTAGTGTCCCTCCCAAGTCTTGCTTTCTGCCTCTTCATTATTTTGTCACACTTCAGTGGTCAGCTCAATTTTCTATTTTCCTCTAGATACCAGTTCTCTTGGAAACAACCCACACAACAAAGCAGAACTGATGAGCCGTCTAGCTCAACCTAAGCACGATTTTCTATGTATCTTATTTTTCTGTGTGTGGTGCTCAGCCGCACAGGGACAGCTTAGGCTGTGCAAACTCTTTGACTATGTATGGTGTGATGTTACTAATCCAGTATCTCGGTTACTTCTATTCCAAACAGATTAGTCACAAAGAATTATGTCTTTAGTGCCAATAAATCAATAAAGAAAGGAAGGAAAGGAGGGAGGGTGGGAAGGAGGGAGGGAGGGAGGAAGAAATGAAGGAAGGGAGGGAGGGAGAAAGAAAGGAAGGAAGGAAGGAAGAAAGGAAGAAAGGAAGAAAGGAAGAAAAGAAGTGAAAGGGGAAAAAAAAGAAACTCAGGCCAGGTGAGATGGCTCAGTAGGAAAAGGTGTTAGTGGTGGAAGTCTGGAGACCTAAGTTCGATCCTTGAAAGTCATGTAATGATGGAAGGAGAGAACTGACTCCACAGAGTTGTCCTCACACCTCTGGGCATGCATCATGACATGCATGCACACACATGCACACATACAAGAGTAATAAATAAAAATAAAAATAATAAAATCACTAATGGGGAGGAAAAAGAAAAGTACAAAGCAAAAGTCTAAGTGTTCTTCAGTTTCTGGCCTGGCTGAGATTCCAGCACTTGGAAGATGCATCTCCTGGCCATGGCTCTCTTGATTTTGCAAGAATATTGGTCTATGGGTGTGTTCTTAGGGATGTATGACTTTCTCAGTATTAAATGATAATGATAGCCTAAAACTTAGTGTACAGCACCCTGGATCATAAAGATGAGCAAATGCTGGTACATGAGTTCACTGTCTGCCTTTTTGTATGTATTTTAACGTTTTAGTAAGTCAAATTTCATTTCATAGTCTCGGGAGAGAAAGAACAAAGATCAGAGAGAGAGAAAGTGCACGCGTGTGCACATGCGTGCGTGTGTGCGTGCGTGCGTGCGTGTTGATGTGGAAATCAAGTATCAGAGCCAAGAGAGGGGCCCAATGGCATTGCAGGAAGTACCATGACTAAAACTTTCTCGCTAAATTGACTGGAGTAAGCACGACACCACATCCAATTTTAGGTTTGCAGGAACTAGTGTGTTAACTAGTATTTTACAGGAACATGCATTTTACTAGTATTTTGTGACTTAGTTTTGGCATTCAGGTTTTGGTTTGTAGATACTCAAGAAGCTTGCTAGGGCCATCAATTTGAGCCATTTCTGGGATAATACTTTGTTGTTTAAGTGGGTTTTACATCTACTCTTTTGGGATGTAGTCATCCCTTCTGCATCCCTTGTTAAATTTCCTTGCTGCATTGTAACTTAGCTTGGGGTAAAGCATCCTGGGGCTTGTTAATGGGATGCTGCTGGGAACTGTGAAGTCCTAGAAAGCTACATTTTCCCATTAGCTGCAAATATTGTAACAAGCCTTTTGCCTGTGTGGGTGCATAAGTGCTGGGTGCATGGGTGGGTCAAATGCATGTATGGGTACATGTGTGCATGGGTGCATGGGTGTGTGCATGCATGCGTGAGTGTGTGCATGCATGTGTGAGTGCATGTGTGTGTGTGTGTGTGTGTGTGTGTGTGTGTGTGTGTGTGTGTGATCCCTGCTTGCAAGTCATGCCTTATAATGAGGTTTTTCAGCCTGAAGCAAAAGACCATAACTGGGTGATACTTCATCTGTGAGAAATCTTATAATTAGAAAAGAAAACAAAGTGCCTATGGGCTGTACTTGAGTGGGTGCAGGGCTACTGAGGGTGGGATGGCCTTCTCCTTTGGACAACGGTTAATGGCCTTCTCAGAGGAGTAAGAAAGGGCCTGGGGATTCAAAAACGAAATCTATAAAAAATTCTGCTCCAGTCTCAAAAGGCAGCTACCCTAGTGAGGGGTGATTTTTTCAAGGAACAAAATTGTCCTTCAAAGTGCAGGTGTTGGGGCCAGTGGTCTCCTGAAGTCCCTTGTGTCCATTTGAAGAATGTATTATTATAAGTAGTTTTTGGCTTCTGGGAGAGACAGTGAATAGATAACTCATCACCCTGGCTAGCTTGAAAAGGCTATTTACATATGATTTAAAAGTTAATGACCCTCTGAAAGCAACACTTGTAGGTTTCTGACCACTAAGTGTCCCTTTCATACCAATAAAGGCAAACTCTTATACACAAAGATAGTTTGCAGGAAAAATTGGTGTTTCACTCCCTTTACCTATGACACGTTACCCTAATGCCATACTCTATAAATATCTATATTAAATATATTGTATATATGAAATCTTGCCACGAGAAGCTACAGCAGCTGGACACAACATTATTCAAATTCTTACTGGACTAGTTTAAGATATTCATATCTCAGCTTAAAAATCTGATTCAATTCTTATTTGCCTCATGCACCAAAGATTCCAAACCGTAAGTGTTTTTAGTCAGTTTTTACTCATTTCAGACATGATATTCGTAAGCCTAGACACGTCAGAAGGAAATAATGAAACGTTTCGTCTACACTGTGAACAATTGCAAATATCTGGGTGTTTGAAGCTGCTTGGAGGCAACCCTGGGAGATTTTCACCTTGTAGTCTAAATTATATGGCCACACAGGAGTATCTTACCTTGCTGTATTGATATTTTCAATAGGAACCCATCTATCACACACACTCTAAATAGGAATAGTCTATGAGGTTTTGTACAAACTAAAAGCTTTACTTATACATCCTACAAATACATGCAAGCCATTTGCCCTCTGCAAGGCAATCTTTATTGCATTATTTTTAAACACCTTTTAAAAGCCCCTCTTACAAGATTTTTACCCGGCAGGAAAGCAATATATTCCAAATAGCAAGAAGGGGGCCATCAAAGCAATGAAGCATGAGGGTATCAATCATGAGTTTAGAGATGAATTCTTTCCCTGGCTAAACAAAAAACAAAAAAACTGATTCCCAAAGGCAGTGAATACTTACGTGATGGCTCCCCATGTCCTCTTCTCTGAGATGGCGGTCCCGGGTTTCAGGAAGAGATCAGTTCTCCCACAGACAAAGTTTATAATGGGTTTCTCAGGGCACGATATCTCTTGTGTTTAATAAGTAACTTTTGGCATTGAATTTGAATACACTGGTGGGGATGGGTAGGGAGTGGTGATAGCTGTGAATGAGCTTTAGCTACCTGGGCTATGTGGGCCGGCCATTGAGAGAAAATACACCCAGAGAAATGAAGCTTGGACTTTTTAAGTTGAATTACTTAATCACAACTAAAAGGTTAAGCTCGCCTCACTTCTAATAGTTGAAAGAATTCGACAAGATTATTTTTTCTTTTCCCTTCTTGTTGGAAATAGGTTCTTGTTACATATATAGCCTGTACTATTCTTCAGCAGGATGCAATCCTGCTTCAGCTGGTATACAATCCTGTACTACCACTCTCGCCAAGAAGGGTTTTCTTAATTAAAATTTGTATGTATGTATATATGTATGTATTTTGTGGTACATCTGTGTGTGTGTGTGTGTGTGTGTGTGTGTGTGTGTGTGTGTGTGTGTGTATGTATACATGTGCATGCCATAGGGACCATATGCACATCAGAAGACAATTTGCAAGTCAGTTCTTTCCTTCTGATATGTGTGTCTGGGGGAAATCAAACAAATGCAGGTGATTACAACATCCCCAAGTTATTCTTGGATTTTTTGGAGATATATATATCTCAAAGGCATTGCTGGGTGTGGAGGCACACACCTTTAATCCCAGCACTTGAGAGGTAGGGACAGGCAGATCTCTGTGAGTTCAGAGCCAGCCTGGGCTACATAGTGAGCTCTAGAATAGTCAATGCTACATAATGAAAGTAACCCTGTCTCAAAACCCATCATCATCGTCGTCGTCGTCGTCGTCGTTGTCAGCAGCATTAACCAAGCAGTCTGAAAATTCCATTTTATTTGTATTACTATTGTTATTTTATTACAAATAATTTTTGATGGATACATTGAGTTGTACAGGGCTATATTTATATAATCTGAATAGTTTTTAAATTTAAAAAATTATAGCTGCAGATCTGGGTAAGTTTTTTTTTTTCACTAGAAAGATAACCATTAGATGTAAGCCTACTGATCTCTCAGTTCCTTCTTCTGGAAGCTTGCTTCTATGAATCTTCTCAAAAAATGATCTATACATATGCACCCATGTCTGTTTCCCTATTTGCATCCATACATCTATCTACCTCTCTGCCTGTCTATCTATCTATATCTATCTATCTATCTATCTATCTATCTATCTATCTATCTATCTATCTATCTATCTATCTATCTATATCTAACTATCTATATCTATCTATCTATCTATCTATCTATCTATCTATCTATCTATCTATCTATCTATCTATCTATCTATCTATCTATCCATCCATCCATCCATCCATCCATCCATCCATCCATCCATCCATCCATCTATCTATCTATCTATCTATCTATCTATCTATCTATCATCTGGTATGTGCATCTACAACAAAAGGATTTCATGTTGCATCTTGCTCCATGCCTTGTCTGCTTCCTATACTAAAATATGCTAATCTGTTACAGGCACGAACTCAGCCTTATTTAATCAGTCCATCATTACAATCCATTTTAGGTTGTTTTGGGTCTTCTGCATCAATGTCTTACATCTTTGATTTTATTTGTCTGTTTGTTGACTCTTGAAATGAGATTGCTTATAAAGAGTACAGGTACTTAAAAATTCTAGTAATTAAGTTATCTTCTACTATAGGCATTGGAATGCTGACTACCGCTGAGGTCCGCTGAACCACCATCATGCCTTGTGCTGAAAGACAGAGCAGACGCCCTATCATGGCGCACGGTGCTCCTTCCAGCTTGCTGCCAGCACTCACACGGCTCCACTTTTCACTCCTGCCAATTTCAAAGAGGAAGAATGGTGGTTCGGTTTATATTTCTTTTGGTTCATATCTTTGAAAAATATATTCAGTTCCCTTGAAGCTGTTTCGTGAACTTTTCTGCTGTTTTCTTGGGCATGTTCCTGTTTTCTGTTCCAGTCGCTGGTCTTTGCATTTCTATCCGTGAAACACTTTATAGTAAGACTGAGACCATCGCCAAGTGGAACCATTGTTTTTCACCAGGTTTTTTTTTTTTTTTTTTTTGCCTTTGGTCTGGTTTGTTTTAAGCATGTAAATATATATGAGAGGAAATTGTGGCGTTTTAATTGTTTAAATATATAAATGTTTATTTTCTCTTGCTTGGAACTCCTTTTTCTGCATTGAGATGCTTAAATCTTGTGTTTTGCAAGGTTTGGATTGTTGTTTTGTTTTTTATTTGTTTCATTAACAGGGATTAAATTGAGGGCCACAGGTGCTGGGTCAGCCCCCTACAGCTGAGTGGGATCACTTGTTTCTTTTTACTTTTTATTTTGAGAGATTCTTGGTGGATTTCACATCATGTGTCTTGATTTCATTCGTCTCCCTGTCCCTTTTCATCTGCCCTCTAACCTTGCAACCCACCCCTCCAGGATAAAAACAAGATAAAATTTAAAAGAAAAGAAAAATCTTGGTGTGGAAGCTACAGTGTGACACAGTGAGTGAGTCACACAGCGCTTTAGTCCACATACTGTTACTTGCAAGTGTTCATTGTGTTGAATCATTGGTCTGGTTGGAGGTCTCCGGTTTTTGCTACCCTATCAATACTGGGTTCTCACTGGGGCTCCTCTTGGATTATCCCATTGTCCTATGTCATGGAGATCTTGGAACTTTGGGTCTGCAGCACCAACCCCTTCACGTGCTCCAGCAGATCACAGATTGAGTGGATGATGGGATGGACCAACTCATAGCTCTGGTTCTGGGTCTGGGTGGTTGCTGGGTTGGTCAGCCCACCCGCCAGCTCTCCTTCATCCTCAACACCAGGGTGAGCTCTCCAGTTCTGCCCCAGCTAGCTCACCCTATGTAGTAAGCAGCAAGGGGCGGGGCCGATTTTCCTGCTCTCCTGTCCTGGAGTTGGCTGGCCCACACCTACAACACCAGGGCCAGCTGTGTTGCCCAGTTGAGGTGTAGAGGCCACTCTGCCTAGGGCTGCAGCTAGTGAGAGGCAGGGCCAGCTCTCTCCTTCTAGTGACCTCAGGGACTCCCACCTACCACAGCTCTTGAGGGGCATAGGGAAGGAACTTCCCTCACTTGCCGACACCACTATATGATAGATGAGGGACGGCGCTGGTCTCTCACACTCACATTCTCACAGCCAGCTCACCCATGCCTCCATCAATGAGGTCAGCTCTACTGTGTTGCCCAAGTGAGGTGCAGGGCCCACTCTTCCTAGTTCTGCATCTGGTGAGGGCCAGGGGCAGCTCTCTCGTCCACCACTAGTAGCAAAGGTCAGGAGGGGGAGGCATCTTTCCCTCTCCCTCAGGTGGTTCACACTTTTAATCCCAGAATTTGGGAGGTAGAAGCAGAAGGATACACAGTTCAAGGCAAGCACTTGGGTACATAATGAGTTTGAAGACACCCTGACTACACGACACCCCTCCCTCCAAAAAACAAAACAAAAAAACCATTTGTGTTAGGTAATAAGATCCCCCTTCTGAAGCCATGGCTGGAGGGCTGTGAATGCATAGAGCCTTACCTCCAACTCTTGCACCCCACTCACTCTGTCTCAACTCTAACCAGCCAGGAAACACCATGAGAGAGCCAGGGTTGTGAAGACTTCTGCTGCTTTTTAAAAATATAAATAATGTGTGTCCCAAAACATGACGTGACAATCTTACTTCACGTCACAGAGAAGACGGCAAGGCTTTGTTATTCACATGAACAGGCATGCACCTTTTCCTCCTCCCTCAGATAAAAAGCCTAATCATCCTTCTCTAACATGCTACTCAGAAGGGACATGGCGTCCCCTCTCCCAACGTCTAATACCCATATTAGACATCTCACACGTGACGGGGCATGTTGAGAGAAGAAGAGGGAATGAGGGAGGAAGGGATAACCGAGTGTGTCCAGGGAAACCCAGCCTCTCCCTGTCAGCCGCCCTCGGATCCTTGCCTAGCTCTACTGACCCTGGGTGATAGCCGGGGCTGTCTGCCTGCCCAGGCCTCTGGGGTCAGGATGTCGATCCAGGGACACTTGAGTGTCTGAGGGCTCCTTGCATCACTCACTGCTTCAGACCAAGTCAGTCAGCAGCCCCGGTGTTGGCCACGGGGGTGGGCCGTGGTGGATGGTATATAGGTAGATAGTACAGCTGTGCAGGGTGGAGCTGGCTGGCAGGGTGGGCTCCGCTGCAGTCAGGCTTGGCTGTGGAGCAATGGCTTCCAGTATTTAGGGCCTACATCTTTGATCTGCTAGGAATTGATTTTGATAAGGATTCAAGAAGAAAGGGGTTGAGTTAGTTTTTAGTTAGGAAGTGGGGACTAGATAGCTTGTAAATAATTCATGTGCAAATGAGCCGGGAAACATGCAAAAGTTAACCAAAGGTCTAGGTTCTTTTGTGCACTGCCCTGCTGGGTTCCCAGACTCTTCCCCTCCGCTCTGGCCTGCTTCCTTCCTTTGAAGTGTCCTTTCTTAATAAATCCTCTCTCTTTGCTTGCTACTATCCATGTGTCTCTGACCGATCCCTTGCTCTGAGTCACAGGAACCTGGAAATATTGGCAGGTGTCCAATAAACCCCGATATCTGCCAGTATCAAAAAGAAGGTTCTAGATAAAGAAAGGATGTCATAATAGAGATTATCGTGTGTGTGTGTGTGTGTGTGTGTGTGTGTGTGTGTGTGTGTGTGTGTGTGTAATATTTCCTTTTAATGGGGACAGGATTTTCAAGGGGCCAACATTTATTTAACATATATATTTGAGACAGAGTGTTTCCATGTAGTCCAGGGTGATTTTGTGAATTGAAGTTTCCAGAATTAAAAAAAAAAAAAAAGTGTCTTACTTGTGCTAAAGATTCTACTAGGCTGAATAGCTGGTTAGAACTTCATGATTATGGAGATATGGAAAGTCGCAGATCCAGAGCCCAATCAATCATCTTGGCTGTCTTTCGGTTCCTTAATAGCCGTCCATTGCCCATCTCTACATCTGATCTAATGTGACTTGTCCACCAACTCAAAGGCTAGGAAGTACGTCACCAAATGACATCAGAGGCCTGTAGCAGAGATGTCTCCACTTTGCTATAACCTGCTTACCTAATGTTCCCACCATGCTATTCCAAAAACACATTTATCAATGCTTTTCTTACATTCTGTAGCTATAAAAAACTATGCACGTAGAACACAGCATTTGGGATACCCTAAATTGGTATTCCCAGGACATTGGTGAATTTCCTTTGGCCCTGGAATCTGGTATCACCTCTTATTGCCTTTGTGGTGAGAGGTGCATTTTTCTGTACCTTGAGGTGAAATCCTACCTCCCAAACACTGGGATTAGCCAGCTAGAGAGCTAACATCTAAACTATGAATCAAAGGACAAGGTGTTCTCATTTGAAAATACAGTATTCCAGACTGGATGGTAGTAGCTTGTGTTAAGGTTCAAAACAGGAAAGAGCTCTACAAATTGGAGGAAATGAAAGATTGGAGACTAACCGGGTTCCAGGTAGAGTGTTAGGTCTTAGGGATACAAAAGTCTCTTGTCTCCAAGAGACTCATTGTGGGAAGAAGACAGGAGACAAGAATGACCCACGCATTGGCTCTTTGCTATTTTTTTTTTCTAATTGTTGTGCCTAATTTCTGCTTTATTGTCCAAGCCTCCTTGAACAGCTTGAGGCTTCTCAGGGCCTAGTCCTCTCTGCCCCACCTCTGCACTGGCTTGGGAGTCACACCCTATACATCCCTCACCCCTCCTAGAAACTTCCAGGGAATCCGTGTTGGTTCCTGGTCCCTCCCTCTTTCAAGTTTGGCTTTGGAAACTCAAAGGTCAGGAGAATGAACAGAGCGATTAGATACACATCTCACTGTGGCGATAAGTTGTGTCCAAGGGTGCCTAGTTACTGAGCACGTCAATACCGGTTATGAATTTATGGCCCTGAGGGAGGTGAAAGATAGAAGCGGAGAGGTTAAGTCGTCACAGCTTTCTAATTTTCCAGATCACCGCCACCAAGAGCAATCTTGATTTTCTAGATGTACCCATAGTCAGATTTCCATCTGGTTGAAATTAAACTCTCCTAGGTGTCTCCTTCTCCTTCTCCAGATGGACAGAGGTGGCTGGGATACACCCAGCAGCTGCAGCCTTGGGGACTGAAGGCATTTCTGTGATTTCTGGGCTCCAGGGGAGAGGGAGCTAGCTATCTTGACAAAAAGAATGAGGGAACATAATCTGTAGGAGTAAAGGTCACTAGCCCAGTGACGAGAGTTTTCCTGTGTCATCATAAATAATTAATTATTATAAGTCATAATAGGTGTTGCACAAGAGAGAGGGTGTGTTTATTTGTCTTTTGGAATTTGAGGGTTCATAAAGTGGAGGTACTGCACACCGAGGGGGCTGTCGGCAATGGGTGGGATTATCGAGGTTGTCATGGTGACCGGTAGAGTTGGAATCTGGCTGCCTTTCTCCTTCCACAGTCCAAACACCACAGTGGTCCCCCAGGATTGGTACACTAACATGTCTCCCAGTTTCTGTCTTTATTCCCTCTAGTCGGAGTACACATGAGCCTGGGAACATTCTGGGTTACCTTGCTCTCCTGGCTATGACGCTCCGGCGGCTTTCCCATGCTCTCAGGGAAGGCCAGTCTTTACAATCACCTTCGTATCAGGCCCTATGATGCTCGGCGTCTCCCTCATTCCCATTTCTCTCTCGTAGATTCTCTCCCATTCTCTTCCCCTTATCCTGTGTGTTCTGGGTGGAGCAGCCTCCTTGCTGTTCCTTAAACGCAGCAGTGACGCTCTGGCCTCGGCACCTCCCCCACACCGTCCCCTCTGCCTGGGGAAGCTCTTCCTGCAGTTGTCTCTATGGCTTGCGCTTCCCTTCCTCTGGGCGTCTGATGGCGTGTTACCCCGGAATAGTCTTCACTGACCATCTTTTAAAATCTGCAGCCCTCCCTGCTTCCAAGCCACACCCCTTCCTGAAGCTCCTACTCCTCTGTTGATTTCCTCCCCCCTCCCTTGGATTTAACTATCATCAGATCAGTATTTTAATTAATTTCTTCTGCTTTTTTTTTCATTTTTTATTATTAAGAAATTTTCTATTCACTTTACATACCAACCACAGATCCTACCTCTTCCCTCTTCCCACTCCCCATCCCCACTTTTTCCAAACCAAGGTCTCCCATGGGGAGTCAGCAGAGCCCAGCACACTCAAGCTGAGGCAGGTCCAAGCCCCTCCCCGCTGCACCAAGGCTGTGTAAGGTGTCACACCCACGGTAGGCACTGGGCTCCAAAAAGCCTGCCCATGCACCAGGGATGGATCCCAATCCCCCTGCCTGGGTGTCCCCTAAACAGTTCGAGCTAAACAACTGTCTCCCGTATCCAGAGGGCCTAGTCTAGTCCTATGGGGGCTCCATAGCTATTGGTCCACAGCTCATGGGCTTCCACCAGTGTGGCTGGTCATCTCTGCACGTCTTCCCATCATGAGCTTGATGTTCCCCTGCCCACAGAATCCCTCCTCTCTCTCATCGATTGGATTCCCGGAGCTCAGCCTGGTGCCTGGCTGTGGATCTCTGCATCCATCAGTCACTGGATGAAGGCTCTATGATGGCGGTAAAGATATTCACTAGACCGATCACCAGAGTAGAACAGACCAGGCACTCCCTCGATCATTACCAGCAGTCCAAGGTGGGGTCATCCTTGTGGATTCCTGAGAGCCTCCCCAGCACCCTGCCTCTTCCTATTCCCATGATGTCTTCATTTATCATGGTATCTCTTTCCTTGCTCTCCCACTCTGTCCCTGTTCCTTTTAAAAAGTGGTACCAGGCATTGAACACAAGGCCATTCACATACTAGGCAAGTGATTTACTCATGAGCCGTTTGTTTTGTTTTGTTTTTAGTATATATTACTTAAAATAATGGCATTATGACCGATACATACAGTATTTTGATTATATTCCTCCCTATGACTCTTTTCTAACTCTCTTCCCTCACCCTTTTGCGTCCATAGTAGCTGCCTTTTAGATCATGACTTAGCTTTACACCTCTACGCCTCCACCCCTTTTATACATACAAGAGAAAACCTGATGGCCTCAATGTATTTGTGATAGTTAATTTTTATTGTCAAGGTAAGTGGACTAAGAGACACCTAGGGGATTAGAGCGGCCAACTTCAGTTGTGTTTATGAGGGCATTTCCAGATCTGATTAGATAACGAGGCCTTGGCGTCATCGTGGGTTAGTCCCCTGAGGGAGCCGTGCTGGGGTGGTATCACAGAGAGGCTAAAGGTTGGAGATGGGTCATGGGGGGCATGTCTGAGGGGTTGCGCCCTACTCTGCTCCTTCCTGTGTTCCCTCTTCTCTACTTCCTGTCAGCCAGGATGTGAGCTCCTCTGCTCCTCCATGCCCTCCCTCCCTGACAGGATGGATCCTCTGAGACTGGGCCAAAGCAATCCCTCCACCTTTGAAGGTGCTTTCTCAGGGATTTGGGTCACAGCGATGGCAAAAGTATCAATACAGTATTATTCCTTTGCACATCCTTCTCCACCTCACTAGGACAAACCTCAAGGGGACAGGGAGGTTTTCTGTCCACTGCAGTACCCTCAGCACGTAGGACAGCAGCTGCCTCTCACTCAGTAAGTACAAGACAGTTCTCAACTTACCATAGTAAGACCGCTTATGTCTCAGGTTTTTTCAGCCACCTGGTCTCAGTTAAAATAGCAAAGTATACATAGACTCTAATTTTCTGAAGCTGAACACTTGCTCAGTCTTTCTTAGTGCAGAGAGAATAAAAAAAATTTTCATTTATGTAGTGTTGATTTTTGGACTGACATCTTCCTCCACATAAACAAAAGCAAAAATGTTAGTGTTTCTGTCGTGTTTGTTTACACATTCCCCCTTCATGTTAGTTAACAAAGTCTCCAGGGCTTTATTAACTGAGACAGGGTTATTGTTTGACACACACATGTGTCTGCATGCAGAGGTTACTTCATAAAATAGTCACTTGACAAAGACAAAAATGTTGGCATTAACAGGAAGGGGTTTTAGTTGTTGGAGGCAGTACATGACTCTACTCCTCCACTGTCCAATAAACACCCTGAAAGCCATATGTGCATCTCCCCAGCACCGAACCCCAGATCTGACATAGCGAAATGCTTTCTTCAACTCCAGCGTGTGTGAGCAGGAACTTAATCTATATGCACACTGCTGCTGGACTAGAGGACACGCGACAGATGGATAGGAATGGGATGGCTCCTGCCGTTCTCATGCTCCAGAAGGGAAAATAATGCATCTGTATCAGGAAATGCACCTCAATCCAATTTGCAGTTTGCATCACAGAGAAACACTGAGAGAACAAAGCTCCCATTTTGGGACCGGTACTTATATCAGAGTCATTTCTGCCATGCTTCTCAGGTTTCTGTTATGAAAACCTAGCAGCTAGACTTCATCTCTCCATTTGCTGGCAGACCTAAAACACAAAAGACAGCTGCTTTTAGGAAGATGTATCAGAGTAGGACCTGATGGGAGCATGCCTGCCATTGCAGCTCCTTGGGATGCTGAGGAGGGAGGATTTTCAGTTCAAGGTCTGCTGGTCTACAGAAGAAGTCAGTGGGATCCTTTCAGTTGCTAGTGACTAGAAACTTAACCCTCAATAATTTAAGCAAACAAGTAATCATTTCCTAAAATTCAAAAGGGCTGCTAACTTTAGGCACAACTGGATTTAGGTAATCAACTAACAGTGTCTCCATCTGCATGGTCTCTCTGCAATTCCTAGGGCTGGTTTATCACCTTGCAGAGGGATTCCCTGTCTCAAGGGAAAGATGTCTACTTCTGGATTCTCATTTTCAATCTCACAATTCCAAGACTATTGGAGAGAAAACGAAAGCTTTCCCTTCCTGTAAGTTTAAATATGTGTCCTGATCGGATCCTCAGGCTTAAACTGAAACTCAGGCTTATCTCCGAACTGGTCTCCCCTGTGTGTTTGTGTGTGTGTGTGTATGTGTGTGTGTGTAGGTGTGTGTGTGTAGGGGTGCGTGTGTGTATGTAGGGGTGTGTGTGTGTGTGTGTGTGTGTGTGTGTGTGTGTGTGTGTGTGTGTAGGGGTGTGTGTGTGTATGGCTAGGTTGTGAGGACCCAGGGTCCCATCTGCCACTGCAGCTGTAAGATTCAGTCTTCCAGAGAGAGTGAGTGAAGGGTGCTGCTTGGAAGAAATCAGCGGGCGTTTAATTAAAGAAGGGCGGATGTGATGTCAAATTCGCCTGATAAAGAAAAATCTACTATAGAAGGGGGGAAAAAACAGAGTTAGGGAGGCGAGGGAAGAGAAAAGAGCAGGAAAGATGGAGAGAAATCGGAGGACAGGAAGAGGAGGTAGAAAACACTTCCGGTCCAACTGCCGAATCCCATTAACACATAGGCATCGATGTGGGACGCTCCAGCAAACACTGTGTTCAGAATTAACAGGCAGAAGAAACGAAGCTAACAGCAAGGGTGCTTGCCCACCAGGACCTCTAGATCCCCCTGGGTGGTCGAAGATGCTCAAGTGTGTAATGTGAAGACAGGATAGAACTTGTTACTGGCAAAGGCTGCTACAGAGTTGGGAAAGGAGAAACAGTAGCCACGGTGAAGGAAGAGTTCCTGGGGAGTATGTATACCATACCTTGAGATTAGTGAAGAGGCAGGGGTGGGAAGGAGTGGCCAATACCCCTGAAGTGATGAGGAGCTGGTTAGGCGGGTGGTGTGTTGAGGGGACTTGAGGAGATGTTAAAATGAGGGATTTGTTGAGATAAGAATGCTTCCCTTTGGATGTTCACAAACTGATCAGAAAGAAACCAGAGGCAATCAAGGGTGTCCCTGCAGACCTTGGCTCTGGCATCTCCTGGGAGGCGATGGCATTCACCAAAGTGAGGAAGGCAGCCAGGGAAAAGATGGTGGAGCCGGGAGACAAAGGTTCTAGTTCTGTGGTAAATCTGAGGCTTTTTATTAGACATTCAGGGAGAGATGTCGAACTGGCCACTGAGTGGGAAGGACAAAAGGTTAGAGATGAGTTGGGAGTCGGTGTTGTGCATGTGTCAAAAGCTAGGTTGGCTGGTTTTGCTCTGGAAAGTGGGCGGAGAGAAGATGGGAAGGTGAAGGCCTGTGGGGTGGGGGATGGGGGAGGGTACTGGAGGCAGGCTTCAGTGTGCCGGTGCCTTGTAAGGAGTGAGGAGACTGCAAAGGAGGAGTCAAGGGCAGATGAATGTGGCACCCAGAAAGCAAGGTGAGGGATGACAGAAGACAGAAAGTAGCTCGTGGGATTCAGTACTCTCGAATCCTACGAGAGAGCAAAGCACCCTAAATATACTTTATTTTTAAAAACCAACCTTTCTGCTTTTTAGAAATGTGTGTATCATCTGAACAGAAGCCAACTTTTCTCAGGTGAATTTTATTTTTTAAATTAAAATAAATTCTTAATTGATTGAGTTTTTTTTTTTTTTTAAATCAATCAGTTTGGTTTGATTTAGGCAAAGAGGTTTGATGAGAATCAGCGTTGGCTCAGTGGGAATGAGGAAGAGCAGGTGGCTGGCCAGAGGTCCCCAGGGAGGTCTCCCTCTGTCTTTGGCCACCTCATGACACCTCCATTAGTTTCTGTAGTTAGCTGAGTGACTAATGACCAGTCAGTTCATTCCACTTATAGCGCCCATGTGTATACCTCTAAAGGTAAAGAACAGACCATATGGCGGCATATGAGCCCACTTCCACCTCAAGGTCACTTGGGTTCTGTGATCCCAACTAGAAGCACTCATGGAGCCCTTTCTTAGTGAGATGTATTTCCATCAATACAAAACACTACATTTGGTTAAGAAACTGTGCTTACTTGCCTGTCGTGTTGTGCGGAAGAATATTTTTATTACTGACTTTTTGTTTCATGATGCTATGCAAAGCAATGCCAATACCGAGAGGCAACAGCCTCATTTGCAGAATCCTATGATTTTTTTAATGGCTTTTAAAGGCCTGATCTATGTTCAAAATGTTTCACTTTATGAGGGGATCCTGGGGTTGGGATGCCTGAGATAAGAGTTGCTTGTCTTTTGAACTTCCCCATGCTTTGGCTCTGTGTGGCTGGCCCACCCGAGCTCAGCACTTTGGAAAGAAGGCACACGTTGAAAGTTCCCTGTGAGGCCACCGCTCTCCCCCAGACACACACAGCCTGTGTGGGCTCCACTCAGGAGCCTTGCTGAGATTTGACTGTCCACTTATGGTAAACTATCAAGACCAAGTCATACAACTCCACAGAACGCCTTCCGCAGCCTGCTTCAGATGGTATGCGCATTCCCAGATGCTCCTTCAATGGAGACTGGAGGAAGCTGTAATATCAGCGTGCAGAGCAATAACAGATAAATGATTAATAGAACAGGAAGCAGTAAATCACCTGCTGACTAATGTGCCGGTGGAAATGTCATTGCCAAGTGGTGCGATGAGGAGGGGACTCATCACTGTCCCCCGCTTCTTGTTGTTTCCTTATCGTTGAGACTTTCAGAGTCAATGCAGGGAAACAACAAATGGATCGAATATGACTAGGAATTGATTCAGGCACATGCTTTATTTTACTTCTCAGAACTCATTTTTTTAAAAATTCCTCTTTTAATCCTGTTCTTAACTTTGTGGTCACCTTGAGAGGAGTAAGCTGAAGGTTCTCTGATTTTACTTTGGGGGGCATGGTGAGGGGCTAGAAACATGAAGCCCCTTAAAAGTCATTGTTGAAGTGAGGGAAGATGTATAAGATGTCTAACCTGCTGCTCTGCAGCTAGGGAAAGCTTGGCAGACAGCTGACCAAACAAACACTTGGACAAAAGTTGCTTATATATTAAGGGGTTGTGCAAGATCATGGTCCTCCTAGCAAATATAACTATATGGACAGGGGCTTCTTTCTATCTCAATATTTTTCTCTCCACACTTCCTATGATTGTCTGATGGTATGTATGTGTGTATATGCATTCTTGCATGTGTGTGAGTGCATGCACGTGGGTGTGCATGCATGTGTATGTGTGTGCCTGTAGAGGTCCAAGTCTGATGTCAGGAATCATCCTCCATTGCTCTCTCACCTTTTTCATTGAGGCAGGGTCTCTCAGTCAAACCTAGAGCTTGCCAATATGGCTAGTCTTGCTAAGTTTCTCGAGGGTGTTTCTCAGTGTACTGTTGGGTTGGTAAAGGTGTGGCATTGATCTGAAAGATAGGTTTAATACTTCAAAGTTGTCACAACAACCCATCTCTGTGTTCCAAGCCCCTTAACAACCTGCAGATCCCCTGTGTCTACCTTCTGAAGCTGGAGTTATAAACTGGCCACAATACCCAAGTGGCATTTAAGGGGGTTCTGGGGACCCTATCTCCAGGCCTCACATTGGTCTGTCTAGTACTTCAATCTGAGTCATCTCCCCAGCCCATCTAAAATTTTTCCGGTATCTATTTAAAGTAGACAGCACTATGTTTTGACCTACATAAGCACCAGGAGAGGATTACTGCAGTGAGAGAGCTAACCATCCATCGTCTCACACAACCACACATTAGTGTGTAGTTAGAGCTCTTAAAATCAACTCCAGAGGGTGACGCAATAGTATTTGCTCTGGTTCTCCAGTTGAACGTCGGTTAGATCTCTAGGTTTGTGCATTCTACAACTACAACTTTGTACTCTTTGACCTATACTGCTCATTTCTCTGTTCTCTTGGCGTCTAGTCTGTGTTGATTTGTATTTAATTTTTTAAAAAAGACTCCATAAGCATGAGGACATGAGCTTGGATGTTCAGAACCTGTGTGAAAGCTGGGTGTGTTCCCATAGCTCCAGCACTGGGGGTGGGGTAGAAACAGATGAATCCCCCAGCTCATGGCCAGCCAGTGTAGGCAAATTGAAGAGCTCCAGGTTAAGCAAGAGAACATTTTTAAAAGCAATAGATAGAAAGCAATGGAGGAAGACATGTTGGCATCTGGTCTACATCACACACATAGACATAGACACAGGCACACACACCTACATGTGAGTGAGATCATGTAGTACTTCTCTTCTTGTATCTGGTTAATTTCACACAGAGAAATCTTTACTTCCGTGTTCACAGCATCTAAGAGAGGGAAGCAACCTCAGTGCTTGCCAATGTATTAAAGAAATTTACATGAAAATTTATAAACATCTATAGTGGAGTACCATTCAAACTTAAAAAACAAAGAAGGGTATCTTGAACCTCTGGGCCCTTTTCTATACCACAGTTTTATTTATTGTTGACTCAGCTCTATTGCAGAGGGTATGGTGGAAAGATTCATTAGAAATAAACTGTACAACAAAGACTGTTAAAGAAATAGTTTTGATTGAAGAGATATGCTAAAACCTTCTTGTAAAAATCAAAGTGCTCAGTATAAGCATGAGACCAGGCCTCAGCATCAGCAGCAGGAAGATTCCAGATGCCTGAGTTTAGACTTGCTGAGTGTTTAACTTGAGGCCATTTTGTCTACCCCACCTGTCCAGATGGAGGCTGTCCTGTGACACTTCCTGAGAAGGCCAGCAGAGGTTGGAATGCAGAGGAAGGCCAGAAGTCAGTGTACCGTTGGGTTGGTAAAGGTGTGGCATTGATCTGAAAGATAGGCTTGATCCTTCAGAGTTGTCACAACAACCCATCTCTGCGTCCATGGCCCTGACAATGTGCCGTCCTATGACTGCCTGCTGAACTATAGAGTCTGCCTCCCCCTTCCCCGCTCTGTGCTGAGCAGTAGAGAATGCCATATACATCAACGACGAGGATGTCACCGTCATCAATTGGTACTTGTTGCACAGCATCCTTTCCTGCAGCACAGTGCTGTGGTAGAGGCATCTCTGTTGCAGACTATGCACACCAGGAAGTGCATTTGGGGAGGAGGGTTAGTATCTCAGCACTCAAATTTTGACCAAAAGGAGGTTGAGAGCAGGAAAGAATCAACCAAGAGATAGATACCTTCCTCCTCCTTCCTCCTCTCGGTAAATGTTTTGAGTACAATGGCTTCATAGCGCTCTTGAGAGATATTAACCAGGACTAACAAGCTGGCCTTTGCGGAGAAGCTACGGCTTCAGTAACAGATCATTTGCTTGTTGTCCTTCTCTGCCTCATAGTCCTCCCCTTCCCTCTTGCTGTCCTAAGGTGTATGCAGCCCACCCCAACCAACCCCAGCACCCTATCATGTAAATTTAGCCATCTGTATTCTAGGAGACTAGGGCTAAGGGACTAGTTTTTAAGTGGTTGGATTTTACCCCTGGGTGCAATAGGCTATCTAACCTAATGTGGATGTTTTAAGAAGTGGGCAGAGTGGGGGAGGATGAAATGAGGAAGGGCTTCCAGAAGGAGATGACCTTATGGTAGGATCTAGGAGAAGCGAGCTATAGTCAGACAAAATGAGGTTGATAAGATAAAACAACAAAGGGCTGGAGAGATGGCTCAGTGGTTAAGAGCCCTTGTTGCTCATGCAGAGAACCCAGGTTGGATTCCAGCACCAACATGCTGGCTTATAACCATTTATAAGTCCAGTTCCAGGGCATCTGATGCCCTCTTCTGACCTCTAGGGGCACCAGTCATGCATGTAGTGCATATACTTACATGCAGGCAAAACATTCATATGCATAGAAATACATTTTTAAAAACCTTAAAGGGTGAAACAACACAAGCAAGAATATTGAAGTGAGATACCATGCCATAGTCAGGCAATAAGGCTGCCTCTTGGATAGCAAGCAGAAGAGGGTGTCTGAAGTCTGACCACTATCATGGGGCGGGGGGTAGACAGAGGCTACTCTATCCTCTCTCAAACAAGCTTTCCAGTGAGAAGGGGTGAGAGGGGGGCAGTTGAAGACTCTGAAGATTGGGCTGGGGTGGTGGCTCAGTCAATAAAATGTTTACCTTGTAGTCATGGAACTCGTTTGATTCCCCTAGAGTGCAGGCTTTAAAAAGTTGGACATGGTGGTGTGTGCTTGAAAGCTTGGCGCAGGAGAGGTGAGCAGGAGATCTATGGGGCTCATTGTCAAGCCAGCCCAGCCTACTTGGTGACTTCCAGGTCCCAGGGAGAGAGTCTGTCTCAAAAACTAAGGTGGGTGGGGGGTTATGGAGATAGTTCAACAGTTAATAGCACTCAATGCTCTTACAGAGCACTGCAATTTACTATGCAGCCAGGAATGACCTTGAACCCATGATCCTTCTTCCTCTATCCCCCCCAAGTGCTGAGGTTACAGATATGTGCTACAAGGCAGGCTTCCTTTCTCTGTTTCAGCAACAGGAAATACCTTCAGACACCGACAAATGCGCCCTGGGAACAAAACTGCCACCTGTGAAGAAATACTGGTCTAGAGAACGCTGTGGTCTCTTAGGGAGCAACCCATTAGTAACCATCGTCGTGGTCGTGATGAAGTGACATGTCCAATCAGCTCAGGTCTATTTCCTTGGGTATACGCCCACAGTATCGGGTCACTATTTGCTCATGGTAGGCGTGTCTAGTTTCTCCTATCAGTAATAAATGGATGGTACCAGCTTGTACCAGCACCTGGGGTTTCATGCAATGTGCAGTAAATCTTTAACTTCCGCGTGCTCATAAACTGGACAGCATGCGTCTTAGTATTCTAGAATCCAGTGACCACACCAGAAGCCAGAATATTTGGTATTTATAGTTTGGCAAGAAACTGTTAAGTATCGTCAATTGTTGTAAATATTTAAGGCAGTGTGTTTCTTTCTTGACTGGGAGTGTGGAGATATGGAGGGTTTTTTGTAGCATGAATATTAAAGAGTCTTATTAATAAAATCAAACCCAGGGCCAGTTATTGGGGTGAATACTGGAAGATCAGAGAGACAGAACGAGCCACAGCTAACCTCACCTGGCCAACTTCTCAGCTGGTCCTGTTTCCTCAGACTGGAAGCGTCTGTGTCCTCATCCCAATGGCTCTCAGCTGAACTGTACCACTCAAAAACCAAAAACCTTGAACAGATGGATTTCTGCCTCTAGAATGTTAGGATTAAAGGCGTGTGCTACCACTGCCTATCCTAAGTATCTAGTGGGTTTTCTGTTCTCTGACCCCAGATAAGTTTATTAGGGTACACAATATTTTGGGGAACACAATACCACAGTTCTTGGTTTTGTTTTGTTTGTAAATATAGGACAGATTATAAACCAGGTTCATTCTGTCTATCTGAATATAGTCATAGGTTTTAAAAGAAAGCAAAATCAGTGTGTGTGTGTGTGTGTGTGTGTGTGTGTGTGTGCATATGTGTACATACAGTTACATTGTTATACATATGTATACATATGTATACATTGTATACATATGTGTACATACAGTTAAATTGTTAAAGAAAAGATTTAGCCAAGCTTGGTAGTATGCTTATAATTCCTGCACTTGAGACACAGAGGCAGAAGGATCAGTAGTTCAAGGCTAACCTGGGCTACCTGAGACTCTGTCAAAAACAACTGACAATTTATCTCTAGATAACTGAATTGAGTCTAGCGGCAGCATCACTCTGTTTCTTTTAATTTCTTGACACAGCATTTCATGATGTAACCCAAGCTTGTTCAAACTCATAATCCTCCTGGTTCAGCCTCTTGAGCTGTGTGGTTATGGGCATGTACCACCACATCTGGATATTAAAAAAATTTTTTTTCAGGTACTATTTCCTTTCATGATATCTTCTACATAATTCTTGGCTGCAAAAAGTCCTTTGATGTGTGGTTCTGATCTATTCCAGCATTAATGTTCAGCAGAAAAGGACTTCTTCTGTAAGTCTTTAATGAGAAGATTTATTTCCTTGCTCTAGTGTCTTGTACCCACTCCTACATTATACTTTACAGCATATTAAGTCACGTACCTGGATTCTCAAACCTACTCAGTTGTTCCGTACTTGAAGGTAGCTTCATGCCTTGAGTGCTTAAATAGTGCTTGGGACACGTTGAAACTACTTGGTCCACATTAGCTGAAAAACTCTATTAATTAAGTCAATGCTTTTTAGCTGAGTTTCAGTTCTAGATTTGAGAGTTCAGTATTTGCCAGCAGAGAAGAATCAGTTGTTAATACTCTTTCTATTGCTGGCCTGTGAGGCTTGGGGTTAGCATAGAATTCTGATATAGAGCTTTTTATTCTCTTCCCCTATTTATAGAATAAGATATTTCCCTTTTTATCCCTAGATATAATAAATGAGCTTCTTTTGCACTTGGAAATTAATCATACATTTCACATTAATTTCACTGATGGTGTCCATGAAATAGCCTTGATCCTTAGCCTCTTCCCAGGATGGGTCAGAATTATCTGCCTGAAGGAGCCACACAGACTCTTTATTTAGAAATGTGAAGTCCTCTCACATAGAAATCACACTTGGGGTCCTCTGAGTTATTCTTCCTTCCTTGTGTCCATGGAAACTTTTCTTGTTCAACCGTGGCAGGCCCTGATGTTCCTGAGGTCTTGCCCTGTGGTCCTGATGTCTCAGAACATAAACAGCAAAGGACTATCACTTCGGTTCAATCTCACCCCTTACCTCCTGTGCAGAAAATAAGTCTTAGTTCAGATCCAACCAGGCTATTATTTGACAATGGCCATGTGTGACTATTTCCATACACAAGAAAATCTGCTGCTGCATCTTCTGGGGTCGGCATAACTTTCCCTGTGCCCTTACCCCACAGGGTAAGGGGGTGGGTGTACATGAGCATGTGTGTGCTTGTGTGTGACTTAACTGTACCAACTGAAAGACTGGATTTGGCCTGTTAAAATGCTGCCATCTCTTTGGGGTAGTGATTTTTGCTGGGAAGTTTTGGGAAGCCCTGAAGGCTTCATGCTCGTCCCTGTTTCCTCTCAAGATCTGGCATGGGAGCTAAGTAAATTCTGAAAGCCCCCTGCTAGCCAAGCCCAGGTTTCAACATGACTAGCTGGCCAAGACTCAAAAACCCTATTTCATATCCAAAAGTTGAACCTTAGATTTCTTTATAACAATTCATATTTTCTCAAAGGCAGTATAGATATCTCTGGACTTTTAAATTAATTTTTAACTGATTTTTTGCCCCCCCCCAGCATATTTTTACTAGGTATATGATTCAAAAGATTTCCTATATTGAAAAAAAAGAGAGAAAGGAAAAAAGAAAAATTAATGTGTACTATGGTTGTATAGTTCCTTAAAAGACATTAGTTAAACCCATAGGAAAGAGAATTTCACGTTTCTGTGAAGTGAGGAGCAGGAAGCAGCCACTGACATTTTCCTAGAGTCAGTTGTAGCCATAGCCAATAACGTTCCCTATCTGCCCCTCATATCTCATTTATAGAGATCACAGAACCATCCTGCTCTACTTGAACTTGGTCTCTGATCACAGTCCACACTAGCGGACAAACTTGTATTTCTTGCTCAAGGATGGAGAGTTACTTGTTGCTAAAGGCATAAACTTTGAATGATATAATGAGAAGGAAACAAAAAATATTTCCACCAAGTCCCAAGCCACAGCCAAATAAGCTAAAAAGACCAAAATGGACCATGCATAAATAAAACACAAACTCAGGTAGTTTCCATATTGGCTCCAAAGTGTATACTTCTGATTGCTGTAAAGGATGGAAAAATATTTCCTTGGTCTTCATGGGGTGCTAAATGATGAGTGGTTTTGAAGATATTTATTTCTTATAGTAGGAGGCCTAGATTGAGTAGACCTTGCACATGCAAATGAAGTATTATATTTGTCCAGGCATAAATTTTTGATTATTGTGTATTATATGATAGATTTGGTTATTATATCTGATCAGTAGAATCATTGCCTTAGAGAATTAGAATCGGATATTATTAATCTTTGTCCAATCTCCTCCATATTTTACAAGTTCATGTAACCAATGCTTAAAGATGTTTATAGGTGGTTGCCAAACCTTCCTGCACATCAGAGCTCCTGGAGATATTTTATAAACACACTGCACCTGGTTTCCAACCTCAGGGATTTTGATATTTTCCTTCTGGTTCGAAGTCTGATTAATCTGGTGTGAGGTCTGAATGCTGGTAATTAAACAAAACAAAACAAAACAAACTTCTCAAGTGCTTCTTGTGGTATTAGGACTACCTCCCTATTTAAAAATAGTATTAACATTTTAAAATTCTGTGTTTTATCTCCCTCAACACTGTCTACATATTTCAGTTAGTTAATTTGCTGAAGCAATGGTGACAGGTTAGAGGAACTTTCCAGAGACTCCTTCATTGTCATTGCTTTCAACAGCCCATCTCTTTTGTCTCCATTTTTTCCAAGCAGGTAGGGTGGCTCACACCGTAACCCCAGCTCTTGAGAGAGTGAGCTGAAAGAAGGATTGCTGCAGGTTCAAAGCTAATCCTGGAACCCAGAACCAAAACAAAATTAAAATAAAAAAGCCCAAACATCACAGGATGTTCATTCATTCTCAATGTGACTTTACTTCTCCTCGTGGATGCTGTGAAAATATGCTCAGCTAAGAATAACGTGCTCTTTATAGCTGGCTAGCTTGTCCTGTGGTTGAGAGCTACTTAAAGGTTTGCATGGGGACCTTGATGCCAGACTGACTTCAGCTGGAACCCTGCCCAGTGAGCCCAAGCGACATGATTTTGAAAGGACTGAATTGACAGAATTTGGTGCTATTGACTACTGAAGATGAATTTGAGGAGGAGTTTCAAGGCCGGCCAGGCCCATAAGAATGAGTTAGATGAAAGGCAATTGGCAGAAGCCAGAGGTTTTAAATGTAGAAATGCTGTATGAGATCAACCCCTGGTGGCCACCTTCACTACTACAATTGTCAAGCTTTGGGGTGGAGGCCGTTTGGTTTGACACATGAGACTGAGAGTGTTTGGAACAAAAACTGACTCCAGATGGTTGACATAGAGAAGGCCCTGTTTATACATAGACATGGAGTATTGGCTTTTTTTTTTTAAAGGTTGTATGTCAGAGCACCTATCTGCTTCTCTCTAAAATAAGTTGTATCTCTTCAGCTGTTGCCATCATTTGCAAAAGAAACAGCCCAGAAACTCCTTTGCTTGTTCCTTTTGAGAGAGGGTCTCATCGTCATTATCTCAGGCTAGCCTTGAACTCACTATGTAGCTCAAGCTGGTCTAGAATTTTCACAATCCTTTCTCAGCCCCTTGAGTGCCAGAATTACAGATGTGAACTGCAACTCCACAATGCAAAAGGAACCATTACTCTGCTCTTTCCACCTTCTCCAAAATTGCATTTGGTTTCTTTAGAATCCCATTCAGTGCCACTGCGGTTTTCCAGGTAGAGAAATGGGACTGAGCATCACAGAGATGGGCATTTTGTACCCCAAACCCCAAAGGGAATAAACGGTAGGATCAGTAAATGAGTTGCAACTGTGTTAATATTTCTGAGGGGTTGGGGATTTAGCTCAGTGGCAGAGCGCTTGCCTAGCAAGGGCAAGGCCCTGGGTTCGGACCTCAGCTCCAGAAAAAAAAAAAAAAAATCCGAAGAAGGTACGCAGGAGAGGATGGCTGGCTGGGATGTCCTGTCTAG